TCCTAATTCCTGTTCTATGATTTTTATACATTACTGTGATAATTAGGTATTTTCATGACACTGGCACCTGTCAGGAGGTCCTGAAAAGGATTCAGGTTTACATCATGTTCACGAATTTTCCACTGATTAGTTTGTGTGGTCTCGTTTTGACAACGATTTAAGGCTTCTACCAGAAACCAAACAAATTTTATGAACAGGAAAATACTTGGTATGCAATTTATACTCAAGCTTTTGGCAGCAGATTGAAAGTTTTACATCATGTACTACTCAGAGAGATTTGGCAAAGTGGACAGGATGAACACAGCTGTAAAAATTGAATTATCAGAAGCAAAACAGCTGAAATTAAATGCTTTCCATCTACTGTAAGTCCATTAGAACAATGACTGAAATAACTATGAATAACTCAATTTGCTGTGGTGCAGAAGCTCATAACAAAATTTCAGGATGGCAAAAATAAAACTGGTTTAACACAAAGGGTGATTTCACAGATCACAGAAAGGACACAGATCACTTCAGTCTTTTTACAGAATAAATGCCTTACAGTCTGGAGTGAAAGTTTGTAATACTAGCCCTTCTTTACACTTGGAATACCTTAAAAATAAGAGATGCTACAGGTATATACAAGTCAGCTTCAAATTCATCCAGGACAACGTAAACTACTATGAAGTACTTAGTTTCCCACTTGCTTCATGAATGTGACCTGTGAAATTGCAATCATCTGTGCTACTTTATGGGACTTTTTGTAAATTATGCAAATTCCTGTAGGATGTCCTGCCCTTAAACATGGAACTGGTACAGCTGGTACTTTACCATCCCCCAGCTAAAAATTTACTGGTAGTTTGTGAATTCAGTAGACCCAGAGCTACTTAACCTCTCTGGTAACGAGACCCTCTTACAATCAGAGAATCATAGAATGGTTTAGGTGGACGGGACCTGAAAGATCATCCAGTTCCAACACCCTGCCATAGGCAGGGGCACCTCCCACTAGACCAGGTTGCTTGAAGCCCCATCCAGCCTGGCCTTGAACACCTCCAGGGATGGAGCTTCCACAACTTCTCTGGGCAGCCTGTGTCAGTGCCTTACCACCCTCAAAGTGAAAAACTTCTTCCTAATACCTAATCTAAATCTACCTTCTTCCAGTTTGAAGCTAGTTCCCCTCGGCCTATCACTACATGCCCCTCCTTATTTTCCACATGCCTTAGCAGAGTTTCCAGGAGGATCTGCTTCATAATCTGGCTGGGCACAGAGGCAAGACTGACTGGCCTGTAGTTCCCTGGGTCCTCCTTTTTTTCCTTTTTGAAAATAGGGTTATGTTTCCCCTTTTCCAGTTGGCAGGAACCTTGTTGGACCACCACGACTTCTCAAATGAAGGATAGTGGCCTAGCAACTTTGTCTGCCACTTCCCTCAGGACCCCCAGATGTATCTCATCAGGTCCCATGGACTTGTGCACCTTCAGGCTCCTTAGATGGTCTCGTATTTGATCTTCACTTACAGTGCGTGGTTCTTAATTTTCCTAGTCCTCGCCTTTGCCTTCTGCATCATCGGTAGTGATGACTACCCATAACTAAGTCCCTTCTCTCTGGAGTGCCCGTTGCTTGCATAAGGACTTCTTTCCTCCTCTGCACAAATAAATTAGGAAAACATGAAAGGAATAGGTTCAAGACCTTTTATCAGTTGTCCCACAGTCCAATTAAGTTTTGTCAAAGTAATATCTAGCTAACATTAAGATAAAGAATCACTGAGTTTTTAGACTAAGTAATGTCACCACAGGTGAAAATTGCATAAGAATAATACTGAAAGGGCATAGACTGTTACTCAAATGAGTAGCTGTGAGAGCAAATATTACACAGAATTCCACTGAAATGTTGTTAAACCTCTAAAGTATTAGCAGCTGTATTGTTGGGAGAACGTTATTGCAGTAGTTAAGGTTTACAGAGTCAGTCTCTTTAAAAATTTACCAGTTCTGTTTCTCCTCCCAAGAACATTACTTTCCCAACGTCAAAGCCCTTAAATATTTGCTGATTCAGCCCGAAACAGAGGAAACTGAACAAGTTACAATATTCTGGAATACTCTGACACCCATGTTTGAATAAAAATTTTTAGCTATACATACATGTGAGACAAAACATGAGGTATAGATAAAAATACAGAAGGAATTCAGACAACTAATGATATCTATTTAATACCAGAATTCATGAATGAAAAGTCAGCTGATGAATAAAACCAAGCTGAAGTCTTAATGCAAGCATGGCCAGCGCAGAGGGTGGCTGAAGACAGATGGAAAATGCATTAAGTTCTGTTATTCAGAGCAAAAATGGGTTCTTACAAGAATACTGTTACTTACTGCATCCAGTGATTGCTATCCTTACTATTCACTGTATTTTTAACAGATACATTTAGCATAGGCTGACATGAAAGCACATGGGGCTAGGCTACACACAGATTAGGTATTTATTTTAGAGTTGGCTTTCAGTGCTTGTTCTGATGCCCCTTGTGATACAGGAAATTATTCTGAGTTGTTTTCCCAGCTTGAGCCATTCTATAATTGCCTCCTGCATGTAAAATGAGTACTGCACAGCAATGAGGAAAAGATGTTGGGAATTGTTCTTAACAGAGTAAATAAAAACATACTGACATTTGGCAAATATGTATGACAGCCAGGATTTACCATACTGTCAACCAAAATGAGGAGTCCGCTTAGCTGAAAAACGAAGACAGACTTCAAGGTCACAAATGAATCTGAAAAAGAAGAGGGAGAGTCCATATCAACAAAAATGTCTGATTTAGAGTTCTGAGCAAACTCTCAAGGAGAGATCACCTGCGACCAACTTCTGCATGATCAGCATGTTCACATTTGAAACAGCTATCAGGTACGCTGGCTGCAAGGCTATTCTGCGCTGTAAGGTTTTTGAAAGGTTGTTTTTTTTTTTTTGTAGTACATGGGACTTTCAGGCCTGTTACTGAAGGGTACCTTTTTAAAGAGAGGTGGCCTTTGAACGAAGAAGCAGCATGCAGGTTGCATGTGAAGTGTCTGTTGTGACATTTTAAATTGTGCAAGAGACAATGCAGAGAAAAGGGATGAATAAAAACAACCCACCAATCTCAAACTGTGAAACCTGAACCAGGAAAAATAAATCACAATTGCCAAATAGTAAATAATATGTAGTGTATTAAAAGCAAGGAATCTATAGATAGCAGCATAACAAGTTAGAAACAACTGTCTTGCACCACATCGGGTCAATTGTAAAAAGTCTTTAATGTTCAGCAGCTAGGGATTCTAGTTCTAGATTCAAATTCTACTAGCAAGCCCATGTTCTGTAACACAGCTGAGCCAAACAAAGAGTATTATGGAAGCCTGACCCTGGATATGGAGACTAGAATGTTGAGGACTAGTAGACTGATATACTTACATCACAGCTAGACGACAATGCCATAAATTCTACTTTTCCTCTGCAGGCAGAAAGTGGAACGAGAAATCTTCAGGCTAGTGACCAGAGAACTGAAAATTCTGACAATAAAAGTTACAGTTTTATAAGAATTGACATGGCTACAAAAATGTTTAATTATTACATCCAGTAAATGTTATATCTTCATTACCAAACTAATTTAAACAGACCTTTAGTATATGCAGGTAAAACCAAAATAAGCACATAAAGCTAAGCACTTACATAAAGGCATATATTACAGCTGACTCTGTTTTAGCATCTTTTGTTCTAGGGAGGCTGTGTGAATGGAAAGGTTTTTGCATTTCTATCAAGTTTCCAGAACTGGAAGTTTCTTTCATGGGCGTTCATTTAAAATGTTCAGCTGGCTCTATACCAGAGTTCCTCATTGTTAATAACCTGACTTTCATAATACTTTTATGCAAACAGGTTGTCATATTTTACAGACAAGCAACTAAAATCCAGAAAAATCAGCTGTTAAAAATATCAGGAGTGCACAATTGAAAAGTGCAGACCATGGGGTGTTGTAATAAGTTCCATTTTTATAGCACTTGGTATGTTCTGGGCACAGCTCTAGCAAACCTGCAAGTTCCCTACATGGTAAAAGTTCCCTCAAACATTGCATTGCACCAAAAAAAAAAAAAAAAAAGAAAAAAAGAAGAAGAAAAAATGGAAGGAATGCTTCACAGTCACCTTCTGATTAAGATGAGTGACTTTTTTGTTAAAATGAAATTCTCAAAAAATACACTTTTACGCTGTCATGGGCGCAAGGACTACACTCACCATTCCATACCAGCACCTACCTCTTCTCCAAGACCAGACTTTTCCCCTCCTGTTCCCTTTCATTTGGCAGAAGGCCAAATTCACTTCAGACTAGGGCATAGTCTGCACTGAGCTCGAAGAGCAGTTTTGCTTGCGGATGAAACATAGAACATCGCTCCTCATCTGTTCTTCAAAGAGTTTCATGCGAACCTTGTGATGGCAGAAACATCACCCATGAAATCCAACCACAGTTCTGAAAGCAACGCTGATATACGCCCAGGTGGGAGGCAGCGGGGTGAAAGTTTACCTCACTATGCACTGCTGCTCTTCAACCTTCCCCACACAACCGCCACCACACCGGGCTTCGGCTGTGGAACAGTGTATGTGCATATAGAGATAATGTAACTGACTACTAGGTTGGGTGCATTAACGATGACAGCAATTAAAGAGAGAAAAACATATTTTTTTCACCTTACACATTTACCAGTCATGGATCAAAGACAACTTCATACACAGCCCTGCTGCATTACCCACCCCCCGCAAGACAGCTGAGCCACTAGTAACCCCCCTCATATTCCCTTATAACCCCAAGTTTCACCTGCTCCTTCTACCTGGCGCTGTACCGTCACCCCCGGCACGCACCAGGCGACCCCCTTCCCCTCACAACCCACAGCCACCTCGCCCAGAACCCGATACCCACCAACGGGCCGCCCCGAAGGGCCCGGCCGCCCAAAAAAAAAAGTCCTGGTTCGGCTGCCAGCGGATAACTGGGAGGTGCTGTGACAAGAGGGTAGATGGTGTGTAAACTCAATTTCTCTCTTATCCGGCAAGACCAGCCGAGCACGCAGCGCTATTTTGAGCCCATATGGGCTACGCTCATCGCGACCTGTGCTCCCGGAGTCAGGTGATTTGAAAGCAAATATAAAGACTCCACGTTTTCTTACATTTGTCATGGCCTAGGCCCGAAAGGGCGGTGAGGGGAGTGGGGCTCGGTCGGCCTCACTGAGGATGGCGGCCTCCTCTGCGATTATTTCTTAGCAGGGTCGTGGCGATGTGCCCTCAGTCCAGGAGGAAATAAAAGCTAATTTTGGGGGGGGGTTGTCTTCATACATAAAACCTTAATGTTTATTTAAAACACTTTTCTCCCCCTTAACAACAGACCCTAGTCCCTACTTCAACATGAGAATAAATTTGAAAGTCACTGTGGGCCTGTAAAGCTGGTTTGTATCTTAAATCTCGGAGACAGTTTCTTCTTAACGAAGATTTAGGTGATTTTATTGTATCTCATAGGTGTGAGGCATCTCATAGTGTGAGGCAGAGATTCTGCAAGGCCTTAACCATTTGTTTACCTCATGGCTTGAATTGGAAGTAACTGAATATTGCAGTACTCTTGCTTAAGGTTATAGTGAGTTCTTCAGGGGACTTGATTGTTAAATTGGGGTTCCTATCCAAGGATATGCACTGTTCAGAAATTGTTGGCTAAGTAGAACAAAAATAGGGCTAAATTACTCTATTGGCTGTTTCTCACCTTTGGTTTTCTAAACACTAAGCGCTTATTAAAATCTTTACAAAAGTTGTTGGAAAAATAGACTACAATATGCTGGGGAAAAACGTATAATTCTGAGTTCTCTAATTATGACTTCAAAACTTAGCATGAAATATGATTTCTCTTCTTTCCATACCCACTTCTTTCTGCAAAGAAGCTAGTGAATAGTCCTCCATTTATTGGTGTATGCAAGTGTTTTGTATAATCTAGGTAATGCTAGCAGCAATCTTTAGGTGCATCTGATGGAAAAGAATCTTAATTGAAATCAAATTTTTGAGAACAACTGAGAGCAGTGTAGGAGGATAGCAGGTCTGTTGAGAAAGAAGATGCTTACTTTTTCAGAAAATGGAACATTTCTGAAAAATTGATTTTAAAATTTATGTTTTACAGTAGACCCTAAGCAGGTCTACTGAGATGGAAGAAGGAAAGTTTTACCTTGCTTCTCCAGCTCCCTACCCCAGGCTTTGTCCTCACAGAGATCATTAGTGCTTTTATACTGAAATCAAGCTGTAGTTTTTACCTTGAAACAATTACTAGGTTTTGACTTAACTTTTCTTTGCTTGTCTAGCAGTTGGATCAAATGTTGCAGGAAGACAAGAATGAAGCGTTAAAGAAGGCTCTGTTTCGTGGTGATGTGTCATTAATTGAAGAACTCTTAAACTCCGGTGAGGAAAGTCAGTTATGAAGTTGAATATTTGTAATTGAACTTGGCGAGAATTCTAAAGCTTTGAAGTTTCTCACTTCAAAATAATGCGTCAAGTGCATGTAGGAATATGTGAATGTTTCCAATACAGGATATAAACTCTTATTTTAAAGATTAAATTACTTTTTCAGTGACTCAGCATGTGGTATTCCAGCATACTCCTAATTTATATTTCTTTCATCAGTCAGGAGCCCTGAAAACTGAGAAAAATATGATGTGTGAACTATGAAATAAGGTGTTACTTTGTTTTCAGATTAATTTTTAACCTGAAAATATCAATTACAAACACCAAATTTGGGGTGGTTTAAATTGAGAGTGAGAATTCAGTGGGTGGTCTTACTTTGGTGTTGAAGGTTGCTGGGGTGGGGGCAAGAAGGGGAGGATGGCTTTTTTTTTTTGTTTTAGTGCTCCACCAGTTTGGAAATCCCTTCTTCCTCTCTCTTTTTTTTTTTTTTTTTTTGTCCTCACTCACAGCACTGTTAAGTTTCTGGTATGTGCCCTGTGTAATACTGCTGTCCTGGCAACATCAGCTGGACAAAGATTTTGTGATTCTTAAAGGTCTAATAGGGTTTGTGTGGCATTTGTCACTAAAAAGTAGTTTGTCTTAACACTAAAAGCCTTTCTCCCTGTTCTGTTACTCAGTATTTGTCTGTAATGTGTTTCTGTTACTCAGTGTTAGGAGGATTGGATCACTTACTGAAGCATCCAAGGCAATCAAAAGCTGCATAGCTGAGTTGACTTGCCTAGTGATAATTGTCAGGGAGTTCTGCTTCAGCAAGCAAGCAGAATATAGTGGGCAAGAGCTTGTTCTCTGAGGAAAATCTGTCTTAGGGCTGGAAGAAAGTAGTTTCCTAGTTAGCAATGGATTTTTCTGAGTTTTAAAACAATGGCATTACGTGCCCTTGTAGAAGAAGACTGTTTCTCACCACAGTGGGGGAATCATTTTCTTTTTAAATTAAGTAAAAACTATTGCACTATAGGCTGAAACACAGAGTTGTAGTACTGAGCAAAATACATCTTCTGTCTTGCTTTGAGAAAATACGTTCTTATATATAGGTAGAGTTTTTAGTGATTGCTTAATTGTTCTGCTACAGCCATCCATTTTTAATTGCTTGTATTTCAGTCAAACAGCAGTAGTTCACTTTCGGTGTTGACGGCTGCTACATAATGAGCAGTTCTATGCTGTTGGAAGATGATGACAAGTAGCTGTGAGAGCTTAAGGTCAGGCCAAAGATTCCTGTAGTCTAGTGTCCTGTCTCCTGAAATGCATAAGGCAGTATCACAAGAGAATCTATCATTTCCTGAAAATAAGATTAACAGTAAATTTTGATCCATCCAGTACTGTCCTGCAGAGCATTAGAACACAATGCTTCTCTAGCAGGGAGGTGTTTCTGAAGAAATGTAACATTCTCCTTCAGATGATTGGTGCTCACTCAGATTAAATCTTTGCCTTCAAAGTTGCCCTTAGTGTATGCTCAGTAGAGCTTGCAGGAGGCTCGCTACCACCACTTGACCAAATTCAGGGTTTGTGTTGGAAGTGGATTTCCTAGCAACAGTTGGGGCCATTCTTTCAGGTAAGGTGAGAACATGTTGTCTTCTGGCTTGCTTAGCCATTGCTTTAAGAATCTTTGGTGCTGAGGCATTTTTACAGAGCTCCTTTAGGAGATGGACAAGCACAACGTCTTCTCGTACCCCTCCTATAAAATGGCAACATACTAAGTTTCTGAAGTATGTGTCACAAAAGGTAATGCAAGCAAATAGCAGGTTCAAAGGTGACTTGGGCATTTTGATCTGCTTTGGGAGTAAAATGCTTAACACAATATAATTCATATGTTAGTTTTTCTCAAATGGAATTAAAAGTTATGACCTCATGGCAGTTTAGGCTGATCAAAGCTATAGCTACAGTCAAATCCTCTTCCCTGTCTTCATTCAGCAGTCTGTTGCACTCCTATCTTTGCATGAGTGCTGGAGCTCACCTGATCTTTTGTGAGCCGGTTCAGGGAATTAAAGTAGTAGTAAATTATGGGGGAGTGGGTGTGGGGTGTGAATAATTTTTCAGCCAGTTTAGGACTCTGAACCCAGAGTCAGATGAAAACCATGGCTGGCACAGCAGTAAGAGACATCAGCAGCTCTGATGTAATTCAGCTTTAAGGTATTGTGGAGCCACAGCACAAAGTGCTGACAGACTTAAAAGAAATCAATACTTCTATTAGCGAGAAGTCTTCTGGAATCGAGCGTTGTAGAACTTTTCCCTCAGATAAACAGTGTCTGAATGTGAATGAATTCTAATACTAAGAACTATTCTTAAACTAAATGAAAGTCTTTCAAGACCTCATTTTTTTGGTGTCAGACATGGAATTATTTATCATAAAAAGCTGTCTGTAGAGGTTGGTCATAGTTCGTCGGGCATTACCTTGTTAATCTTTTTGAATTTGAGATTACATTTTTCTGTATAAAAGCAGCCTTTCTACCATAACTATTATAAGCCACAGTCAACAAAATATCTGAAAGACATACCAGAGGAACTGTAGTAATCACAGAAACAACATAATTCTTCCTTGGCTGTTCTTTTTCTTCACGTTTCATACAATTTCTGCTGTAGAGCTTGGCTGAGGCCAGAACGTGTTTCTCCCCATTCCTGGTTAAAGGGGAGGGTATTTATGTGTAACTCATATTGTAAGAAAGAATGTTGTATCTGCTTTGCCTCCTAGACATGATTTGTGAGGTTATGTGACTGAAAAACTCCTCTGCTCATGCCCACAAAGGAACGCAGAGAGGTAATGGCAGGTAATACCCTGGCCCAGCTCCTCCCATGCCTGTCACGGAAGCCATCAGCCCATCACGGGCCCATCTCTGCAAGCCCAGAGGAGAAGAGAGGCTCAAGGGCGTGCAGGAACCCAAATTATGGACTCAGAGGAAGGGACTCCCAGGGCTGTCATAGGGCCCTTGTGCCTGTGTGCCAACAACTGTAGGGACTGGAGTGAGTGAAAGGATGTGCCAGCCACAGGAGTGGGACTGGGGGTCAGACGCCTGTGTGTCTGTGATGCCAGCAGCTGGAGGAAATTATCTATCCCAAAGGGGAGCAAGATGAGACCATTGGTGCTGTCTGTGTTCACGAGTGCTCTGTCTGTGTTGGTGTCGCTGGTGGTATATGTGTGTGCCTGCTGGGAATATGTGCTCAGCATCAATACTGGTTGGACCTGGGGGTGTGGAGCTGCAGCAGCCTCGCCTATCTCTGTCTGTTGGACTTCGCCTAACTTTTCACTAATTTTTTATTTTTTTTTTCTGGGCTTCACTGTTGCCTTATAGGACTTTTTAAGGGTCATTTTAAATGCTAAACTAACACTGCTTACTTCAACAACAGCTCATGTAATGAGAGAGTCCAAGTAGTAACCAACGGGAGAGATTTCTGGTTCGGTCAGCAACTCTTAAAAGCATGCATCCAAGAAGCAACATGACTGTTACTGTTTCAGTACTTTCTTTGTCTTCCTCTGAGACTCTAGCTGGTTTGCATTGTGACTTTCACACTGCGTGGTACTTCAAGGCAGTTACAACAAAGGTGGCAGGAGACCGTGTAGGACAAACAAGCTGTAACACAGCTTTGACATTTCGTTGCCAAAAAGACCATTCTACTTCTAAAACTTAAAAAAAGTGCCTGCATCATGGCAGGTGCTGTCTGCTAAATGCTTAAAGAAAACAGCAAGGAACCTGCCTTCTCAAGAGTTTAAATAAGTCTCTAAATGCCTGCCAAGTAGATCTTTTGTCACTATTGTTCAGATACGTATTAAAATAAAAAGCTCTAGATGGGATCTCTAGTTACATGGACTGCTTTTCTTCTTAAGAGGAAAAGGGACTTCTTAAGGCTGACAGAGTGCCAGCTTTCTGGTATTCCTTTCCTACTAGTGTTACTTCAGTGGGCTGTTGGATATCAGACTTTCTAAATTCTTGAAGTGACGCGTCTACAAGGAAGTTCAGATATGATTGTGAAGGGATGCTTCCTGGCTTCCCTTTGTAGAACTTTGGCTGTGGGCTTTAATGAAATGTTGTGTGGATTGCAGACAGACTGGCGTGCTGTGACGTTAAGGATGCAGCTAATATGTATGTAATTACTAAGATGATCATAAATTCTGTGGCTTGCAGGTGTTAGAGTGCTTCAACACCTTTCAACAATGGCTTTCGTTGAATGTTACCTCTTTACTGATAACTTCTGCGACTCCAGTGATCTTAAACAGTTGAAGAATCAATCCCAGAGCAGTGACCTGTTACTCCCTCAGCTTTAATGGCTTCATGCTGCTACGCTGAGCACATCTTTGACAAAGATGTACCAAGGCAGGGAAAGTAAATACACATTTTGCATGAGAAAGTATGCATGTAGCTCGACTGTCACAAATTTGTTAGGACAGTTTTTTTTTTTTCAGAGCTGTCTCTTCTAAAGAAGTATTTTTGATTACACATAGTCACTGTTGCACTAGTATGGAACGAGCTGATGGAAACTGTCATAGAGGAAGTAATATTTGAGAAAGGATTGAAGGAAAGATGATTCCTCTTACTGCAAAAATGTATAGAGATTTTTATTTGAAAGTTGTCAAATAAGTATCTCAGTCTGGTGCTTGGATCTTGGTGAATTTGGGAGGGGTCTCTGGCAAGCTTACTTCTAGGCACAAAGGAAGATATGACTATTATAAAGAGCAACAAACAAATCTGGTGATTGTGACTCAATATTGCATAATCCTCTATTTCTTCCTCCTGTTGAGATACTATTTTGTTCGTACTGAATGCAAAAGTGGTATCTGCAAGTTAACTGTCTTGGAAGACAAGGAGCTGTGAAGCAGGAAAACCTTAGTCAATATGATCTTAATAGCCTGACAAGCAAGTTTCTTCCAAAGCAGTCCGCTTGGCTTAGCAAGAATCAAAATTTTTCATTTTGATTGAGGAAAGCTATTGCATGTAAGTGGAGAAAACAGATTCTGTGCACTTTTCTGAAATTGTTTTTGCAGCTAAATATATTACTTTTATTATTAAATGTAGTCTTTCTGTGGCACTTCTTGGATTCATTGATGTCAGTTCTAAAAGTTGTTTTCTGGTATTCTAGCTAAAGGTGTATTAAAGAAAAGAAAATGGTATAAGTCCTCCCTAGGACCAAAGGCAAATAGTGTGTAACCTTTGTAACGATACATATTAAGAGTAAGGTTTATAAAATGCATTTTTATTGTGGTGCAGTTTTATAATTTTAGTGTCTTAAATTTTGACAGGTATAAGCATAGAATCTAGCTTTCAGTTTGGATGGACTCCCCTGATGTGTGCTGCCAGTGTGGCTGATTTTGCAGTAGTGCGTCTTCTTCTGGACAGAGGTGCTAATGCATGTTTTGAAATAGGTAAGATGTAAATGAAAAACACTGGCCAGTAATGCTCAGTACCAGACGTTGTCGTATCCTTATTCTCTTTTACACATATAGGGAGAAAATGAAAGTTCACAATGGAACTGGGACCTGGTCTGGCTTTCACAGTTTTGAAGTGAAAGTAGCAGTTTTAAAGTAAGAACTATGTTCTTGGAACTGATCTAGAATCAGTTAAAGGGTTTTCTTGTTCTTTCTCTCTCATACTATCTTTCCCCAGTACCTCCCAATCCCAAGTAATCCCCCTTTTTTAAAATGGGTGTTTGGAAATACTTGTTCAGGTATTCTTGGATAAAGTTGTAAAGTTAGAACTTCCTTTGATCCTGTTATGGAGTATTTACATGCAGAAAGCAGCTAGAATCCAAAAAAGACAGGAATAGCTTTCGAATTTGTGGGAAACTAATGTGGACTTTTCTAAAACTAGAGCACAATTTTTCTATTAAGTGAAAACTGTTCTTCATTGTGTTGCTAGATCACCTTCTTCTGCAAGAGTTCAGTGGAGCTGCTAAGTGATATCAGTTCCTCTGTCAATTTTTATGACTTAGTAATATCTTTTTCCTACTTAAACTGTGGTTATTTTTCTTCTCTTTCATTGTGTTGGAAAATTTATCCAAGTTCAAGAAAAAACATTGCAATACAGAAGAAACTGATGCGATACATGATACAGCTAAGTACATAAAAGCAGTGATCATATTTTCCAGTAACTTGCCGATATCTGTAATAGTAGTAGACTGAAATGCAGATGGTACGCATCTGGCTCTGAAAATTTTCGTGAACTTCTTAGCAGCTGATCAGAGTAGATTGCCGGCAACAAAGACAATCATGCCTTTGAATTACTGTCCTTGTAGCCAGCCTCAGAGAACTTCCATATGGCTGCCTACAACTCATACCTGTTCCTTGTTTATGGCTGTAGAGAGCTATAAATGGGCAGAAACTGCTACGGGCAGCAGTTTCGGCTGACCAGTTAACCAACTTGCATGGCATTTTTTCAGTGTGTGACCAACTGTGTTTGCCCTAAGTGGCACCTTGCTAGGATCAGGTTTCTCAGCTTGTTTCCCTGTTAGTCTGCGTAGGGAAACAGTAGCTAGGGCATACGCACCGCAGAGCACTGTCCAGCCAGGAGCGGTCTTGCAAGTCTTTGATTAACGTCAGGCCACATGTGTTTAGTAAAGCTGTGCTATCCTAAAGTGGTATTAAATGTCACCAGTCCTGCTGCTTTTTTTACATCAGAGTGCAATCATATAAGTGATCCTGTACTAATTATCCTATAATGCTTATAATCCTAATAATACCTATAGTGTTAATCACTGTCATTCTTTATAATTGGTTACTTAATTTTACCCTTTCCACTAGTCATGAGGAACAAGGAACTAATGAAGCATTCACTATGTGGTGGGATCAGAATGCAGCATCTTTGAGGAACACATTCACTGGCTCTTACGGGTTTTTCAGCTAGGCTGAAGATAAACTAATCTTTTTTGTTGTCTCTTACCCATTTTTCTCTGCAAAACAGAAACCTGAGAATACTAAGGTGTTTCTTCCTCTTCTCTTGCTCACATATATAAGCTATAGGTAGGCTAACAGAAGTGAATTTCCCACTCTATCGCTGCCTGAATTACTGAATACAAATATAACTACAGGTTCCTCCTAAATATCATTCCCAGATATCCACTTATCACTACCTTTGTTCAAAGTCATGACATCTTTCTGTTCATGTTATTATTGATAACCAGGTTAAACATTTTGAGTAAAAATCTGTCAGTGTATCAAGTAATTTATGAATTAGTATTAATGAAATGTTAATTGCTTACTCTTCAGGAGTTACAGTGACTCTCTGAAATTTAATTTTTCATTTAACGTACTGATTTATGTGTTTTAGAAATTCTACATGAAGTAGTTGAAAATTAAAAGATGGTGTATTAAAAAAACAGATGAATTTAAATGCAAAACTAAGGTCTTTGGTTGGAGGGGTGGGGTACAAGAAGTGGTGAGAAATAAGGAAAGCAGACCAGAGGGGATTAAACTACATAACAAACTTCTCATGTTTAAATATAAAATCTGGCCTCAGATGAAGAATAAAGGTGTTAATGTATACACGGTATTAAAATTTCTACAAGAATGTTAGAAAATATGTTGTAACACTTCATGGTATGGTCTGAAGTAGGTACAGCTAAAATTATGCTTGTTAAAACAAGTTGTTAAAGGCATGTTTGAACTTGTGAATGAGTTTATGCAATAAGCAAAATGGGCAGTTACTCAAATGGCACTCTTCTAATTAGCTCTAGGGTCAACTAACTCGCTAAGGTCCTTAAAGTGTGATGCTTCCCACATCTCTCTTGGACAACCATAGGAAAGGAGATCTCCCCTGTTCTGTGGGCAAACAGCAGTGGTGTACAGTCTGATTTCTGAGCCAAGGTGGCATGGAACACACAGCTGGCTTCAGAGCTGAAGCAAATACGCTGGTTCCTCCTGATGAATCTTTATGGACTGTGTAGATATTCTTTAAATCCATGTCTAAAACCATATTTTTAATCCTCCGGCCACTAGTAAACTTACTTCTTTCTCCTTAAGCCTTGTTACTTCAACTCTCCTTTGTATGGCCTCTGTTCTCCCTAAAATTGATGTTGCTATGTGTTTATAATACCTTTCATGCACTTTTTTTATCCATTGCAGTTAACTTCTTGTAAGCTGTTTCTTCCCTTCACTGTACTTTGGGGAGAGGTGGGGAAGAATGGCAAGTGAATCTACTGGTGTGGAACAAGATTTGAGAAACAAGCATCTAGAGTTAAGCTCCTACTGGGTTTTTTTGTGGTACCTAAGAAGTATCCTAAACTTCAGTAGGAATAGATGCTTTACTACTGCCATTCACTCTCTTCTTTCTGAGTATCTTCTCTTCTCAGATGCCTTTATCTTACCTGATAATTCTAGTGACTTTCACTGGAAGGAAAAATAGTTTCTTACCTTTTTCTAAATATCTTAAGAGTATCAGAACCCGATCAACAACTCTAGCAAATGTAAAGGCTTTTAAAGGAACTTCTGGATTAGCGTGGTATTTACATTTGCATATGTAATTCTCTAACTGCAAGTTTCAAAACAGATAAGTACACTGTGCTGATGGCAGCATGTACTGCGCATGCTTCAGAAGAAAACATCTTGAAGACTGTAGAACTGCTTCTATCAAGGAATGCTGACCCTAACTTTACTTGCAGGTACCAAAAAACCCATGTCTGTGAATACAGCATAAAATTTAATGTTAGTATACAGAGACTTCTTAATAAACATAGCTGTTGTTGGTTAAGATGACATGTACTTCATTAGTTTTTTTTGTAATTTCACTGCTGTCTGTATAAGGAAAGATTAGTGTCCAGATATTTATTTCTCTTATTGTAGTCATTCGTCTGAGTAAATAAGACTATGATCAGTTTTATCAAATTTAAGTATTTTCCTCAGCTGAACAAGATACAAATTTAGGATAAAAATGGATCTTAATACTTCAGTTGACTGCGGTATAAGGGCATGAAATATGTCCTCTGCCTTTCCCAAATCGTATTGCCTCTTCTGTATAAGGATGTAAGTTAAATCAGTTAATTTTTTATTTAAATTCACATCCTCCTTTTGAGCCTTTTGTGGGTATCTAGCAATATTCCTTTCACAGACAGCCTCCTATGGAAAAAGAAAACTTTTGTGTAGATAAAATACATTTACTCCAGTACAATCTGGAATAATCCAGATTGAAAGGAGATCTAATCTCCTTTTAAAAACGACTAACAGCTTGTTTCTTGAATTACCACTTTGTGTCTCTGCAGTCTGAAGCAGTTGATTGTGACATGTCTGTAGTTGCATAGTCTGTTGCAATGTTTCATTTTGCATGAAAAACAAAGAAATGCTGGGCTGACCCAAGATAAACTGTCCTTCCTCTGATGGGGGGCAGGGGGGGAGATACTGTTTGGGTCAAATTGAAACTGCTTGTTTTTTCAACTAACTGAAATTTATTTTTTATACCACAGCTAGTTCACCACGTTACACAAGATATGTGGACTGTGTAGCCTTCTGAAAAGAACAGAATTGGAGGCCTGTTGGTTCTCATTAGTAGAATTCAATTACTCTGGGCCCTGAACCTCACTGTGAGCATAGTACTGATAGACAAGAAGGAAACATAGTTGTGCTGAAGTGCCGCTGATGTCTGGTGCCAAATTTAAATGCCATTCATTTGTTCTTATCAGAGAGGCTAAAGATCCTTCATGAAGGAGGAGAAAGCTACAGACTCTGAAACAATTACATATTGTTGCTGTCAGATAGCTGGATGTTAGGATAAACATCCTGATTTAAAAAATGGGCGAAGACTTTGCATCATTAAACTTTGTCCTGGGTGTTTGAAAATATAAGTTAGACTGCAAAGCTGCAGGTTTACATTTGAAAGGCCTTTGGCTAAACTTTGGGGGAAAAAAAAAACCAAAAAAAAAACCAAACAAACAACAAAGTTTGGATTCTGATACAAGAGATGGGAATTTTAAGGGCAAAACTTTATTTATAAAGTTAGAGTATGTTATGCATAGTTGGTCTTTATATACAAATATTTATTTACTATCTCTTTGTTTCCTAAGACCTTGTGCTAACATATTAGTTATGCTTGCGTATATCAGATACAGCGCCCAGTTGTGTGTTTTTCACTTTTGCAATAGTAGTCTTTCTCAAATTAAAAGATAAATTAAGTGACAATTAGAAATGCCATATTTGTAGCAAACAAAAGTAGAATTTAGATGACAAGGTCTGGATTTTTCCAAAATCTGTGTGCTGCCTTTATTCCTTTCCAGTATTTAACATTTGTGCATACCACTCTTTGTTAGAACGGCTCAGGTAGCAGCTGCTGCTTCTCCTGGGCATCTTCCACTGTGTTCTCAAACAGAGGGATGAAACGCATTAAACCAGCTTCTGTGAAGATAAGGGATCAAAACAGACCCTCTGTGTGGCACTACAGTCCCACTTCACCCATTTCGTTAGAGCAAGCAGGGTGTTCTGTTGGGGGGCATCAGAACTGTCAGTGAGTTGAGGTTATTGTGAGAGTACTTCCTCTGTGATCAGCTTAGCACAGGTGTTAAGAACTAAGGTTCACATTACTTGGCTGTCTCAGCACATAAGAACCGGAATGATTTTAGGAAGCTTCTCTTATGTCCACCAACAACTGGAATGTGTGTGAATGCAAAGCATAATATTTAACTTTCATGTAAGGTAGAGTTTGGTATTTATCCTTACTTTGTTGCGTTGTCAGGGTAGCTAGTAGGCTTTTTTTTTTTTCTAATTCATTAAGTGTGCATGGGACAAGGAAGAACTACTGAGAAATAAACTGATTTCTGAAATGCAGTCTAAGAAAGAAGATGGGTTTAGGAGTGGGCAGGTAGGTCGTTCCTTTGCCATAGGATAGAGTACTGAGGAGAAAGTATTCAGTAGAGTAACTTCTGATATTTTTGCTAAATCAAAATTGGGAACTGAATACTGATGGCTGTAAAAACAGTTATGTTGATGAGAATGTAGTTTATTAAAGCATAAGAGCTAACTGAAGATTTTTGAAAGACAAACAAGAAGTAAGGTAATGGCTAGGTGAAACAAGAAAACATCTTAAGACCTGCTCTGTACAGTCTTTGTAGAGCTACTATAGCCCGAGTGCTTCACTTAAGTGAATGCTAACTTGACAAATTTGTCCTGCTTGTCTTGTATCATTCACCTCTGTCTTGCTCCAAAATGTGAATTATATACTTTATAGTTTTCTAAGTCCTTGAAATGTTTAAGCAGTCTTTTTTTTTTTTTTTTTTTTTTTTAAAAAGCCTCTTTAAACCTGCAGTACTTTCTTAAAGGTACAATGGCTTTATTAATGTTAAGCTGTGATTTTGTTTTAGGCAGAAGGAAAAGGCATGAGTGACTGATAACTAAATTACTGCTGCTAGGATTACATGTTATAGGTTGTTTAGTAAATATGGATTTTAGTGATGACATCCTTCAAGTTATTGTTTACATAGTGAGAGAAACCTAGTGGCTTTGCAGGTGAGGAGAGTGTTTTGACTTGATGTTTCATGCTGATAGGTCTTTGTTAGAAGAAGGTAGAAATAGGTGAATGACTGAAACCTCCTGTATTTTGACATAAGCTCTTTGTCTCTTGTTCTGTGTGGAATATATGGAGGTTTGATTTTGTTTGTGTGCTTTTTTTTCCCTCGCTCTTAAAATTTCTGACACAGTTGAGTCCTGGTCAATGACCAAGTGTTTCTGCTCTAAAATGGTTATGAATTTTGTGTGTATTTAAAGTCTTCAGAAAGTCTTTGATATTTTTTTCCTTTTTTTCAGGTTCAGTATTATGAGAACTAGACCTTTGTCTGTCTTTTGGCATTGTACAGATTAAAAGTTGACCTTGAAGCATGCTGTCATGTACATGAATGCCTATACATGAAAATATAATCACTGCTCAGGTCTGGTATTAAGTTGCCTACATATATTCACTTATGCTTACATTCAGAGCAATTTTGAGGAATATCAAAAATGGTTTTATGATGAAAGTTTTGGTATATTTTGCCCTCTTGAGAAGATGATAATAGAAGCAGGAAAGTTTCATGGGAGTATTCCCCAGTTCACAAGGTGGATCTCTCTTTAGGTTGTGTAGTCAGAATAAGGCAGTTGTGTAACACCTCAATTTTAGCAAGATATTTATTGCTACTGATAAGATAGTAAGTCTGCACTGCCACATAATAATTTCAAAGACCTTGACGTCATCATTGTATGATAGTTAACCATGCCAAATGACAAACAATAGATTTCAGTAAAAGTAAGTAGCCTGAGAAAAGTTAATGCACTATGGTGCATTTTATGGCTGGGGCAAGAAAATCAGGGTGTTAAATATTCATAGAATCATAGAGTGGTTTAGGTTGAAGGGACCTTAAAGATCATCTAGTTCCAACTCCCCCTGCCATGGCCAGGGACACTTCCCACTACACCAGGTTGTTCAAAGCCCCATCCAGCCTGGCCTTAAACACCTCCGAGGATGGAGCTTCCGCAACTTCTCTGGTCCAGAGAGACCTGTTCCAGTGTCTCACTACCCTCAAAGTGAAAAATTTCTTCCTAATGTCTATTCTAAATCTACCTGCTTCCAGTTTGAAACCATTCCCCCTCATCCAATCGCTATATGCCCTTTTAAAAAGTCCTTCTCCAGCTTTCCTGTAGTCCCCCTTCAGATACTGGAAAGTTGCTATAAGGTCTTCCCAGAGTCTCCTCTTCTACAGGCTGAACCACCCCAGCTCTCAGCCTGTCTTCATAGGAGAGGTGCTCCAGCCCTCTGATCATTTTTGTGGCACTCCTCTGGACTTGCTTCAACAGGTCCATGTCCTTCTTATGTTGGGGGCTCCAGAGCTGGTCGCAGTACTCCAGGTGGAATCTCACCGGAGCGGAGTACAGGGGGAGAATCACCTCCGTTTACGTGCTGGCCATGTTTCTTTTGATGCAGCCCAGGATGCGGTTGGCCTTCTGGGCTGCAACCGCACATTGCCAGCTTTTGTTGAACTTTTCATCAACCAACACCCCCAAGTCCTCCTCAGGGCTGCTCTCAATCCATTCTCCACCCAGCCTGTATTTGTGCTTGGCATTGCCCTGGCCCACATGCAGGACCTTGCACTTGGCCTTGTTAAACTTCATGAGATTGGCATGGGCCCACCTCTCCAACTTGTCCAGGTCCCTCTGGATGGCATCCCTTTCCTGCAGCATGTCGACTGCTCCGTGCAGCTTGATGTTATCAGCAGACTTGCTGAGGGTGCACTCAGTCCCTCAATATGGATTGAGTCAAGGTCTTTGATCCACTTCAGAACGGAAAATACCTGTGATGTTATGCTGTATTATACTTCATGCCTTTCAGAGAATTGTTTATTCTAGTATTATGAACTTAGGAAAGAAAGACTTATTTTATTATGTTGGTCAAACATCAGGACAGAGAGACTAAATATAAAAAAATCAGATGCAAAATTACATTTACCAAAGTACTGTGTTCATCTAGGCTATGTCCAGACATCTCTTCCTTCCTCTTACCCAAGTTAGGGAGAAGTCAAAAGCATGGTAAATGTGTGAGTTCTGTGAGTTTGGAAAAGTGGCTTTTGAATGTAAGTGTTGAGTCTTGTTCATCATGTCTTTTGATAGGGGGAAGGAATCTAGATGCCAAATTAGATGATTGTACTTTTCCCAGCTAGTATTGACTGTACCATGGTACTGACAGGCTTACAATTACTGATCACAGTTTCTGGGCAAAAGTGTAAAATACTTTGGGGACAGTAGCAACATTAGATGTTATTTTTAACAGAGGCATTCTGACAATGTACTGTGGTGTCTTGGAATGTCATCTGAGCAGCTTTTGTGTAAAATAGAAACAAAACCTGCGCTGAAATCCATTAGCATTATATCAGCAACATTCTATCACAAGTATATTAAACTTCCTGTCATTGCCACTAGCTTACCCTGATCATGGGTTATTTGCACAGAATTGGTTTGGTTTTTTTACATGACAGAGAGTTGCCCTTTTATTAGAAAGGTGGAGTAGATTTCACATGTATGTTCTGAATTTCTTGACCCGCAGACTTTACCCCCACTTTGAAAGTAAAGTTGAAAACAGTCTGAGAAGTTTCTGGTTATGGCTAACTTTTGTTTTGCTACTTTATATCAAAGTGTGCATGTTTTTAGCTAAACCAGCTTGCTTGTAAAAATGTGGTGGAGTGAGGATGTAGGAGGACAGAGCAGGATAATTGTGAATGTCATAGCATAGAGTTCTGCCATCCACATTGCACATTGTTAATTTTTATGCTAATCACATCCTTTGTATTTTTCTAGTCATATGAAGATAACTTTGTAGTTCTCATATCTTCCTACCTCTGTGTGATATAGAACTTACACAGATGCCTTTTTTTTTAATTTTAAAACAATCAAGTGAACAGAGTTCAGAAGCAGAAATGTACAAGAACTGGCAATTTGAAGTGAAGCCTAAAACTAGGGAACCTGAAACTAAGCTGTCACCTTTTCCAGCCCAACCTTCTTGTTAGGGCTATATGTTCCATTCTCCTGAAGGGCTCTCCAAGAAGGTAGAGGACTCTCTTACCTTGACTATCACGAGTATTATGTTCAATATGGGCAAATGTCATGTGGCAAGATGTGCCATACAAAAGGACTTTGCAGGTGTTTGGACAAGAAAGTGATCTGCAAGCCAGATTGCTGAAATACGAATGTCTGCATGGTTCCTCAAAATGACAAAAGGATTCTTCAGATCTTTTATCTGGATGGTTATCACTGTGCTTTCTGTGTACATTTTTAGAGTGCAGTAAGATGTACATTTAATACATTTAATTACTTTAGCAAGAAACAGTGGATTTGGTATCTTAAAGCTTGCTGTTGTATTTGCCATCGTTCTTCGCAGGGTTAGGAAGACAAGATTTGGTTTCCCTAATGCTTCAGTCTCCCTCTTGTGGACCTACACGTGAATGGACCTTGCTTTCTGAGGTGGTACCTATGCAGCATGTGTCCAATACAGTAAATGGTGCCCCATCATATATGGTGGTGCATAAATGCAATTGCAAATTTATGCAGCACTATATACATTTCTATCCTGAAACAGCCTATAGCTTTTGAAATTAAAACTCCAACATTAAAATGGAATGCTTTAAGTACTAATTGTGTATTCATGTTGGTGGACCTTTTAAACGTCATTTTTATCAGATTTCACTTAAAAATGGAGAAATTTTTTCAGTGGCTTTAATGTTGCTGAGTTGTTGCCTTGATTTCAGATGCCATGTCTGCAGTACTGTACAGCCGTAACCACTACATGATGTTCTTGGGAGAAAAGACTGTTCTGTAGCCTCTGGACATTTGTTCAGTATTTTTCCTTTGAAAAAGCAGAAGGTAATTCTGAGGTAGTAGCAGTGTGCAAGTTCAAAAAAAAAAAAAAAAAAAAAAAAAGAGAGAAAATGTTTGAGAGAAGAAGAAATGAAAATGAAAACAAGCATGAACGGACTGGTTTTGCAGTCAGACGTAAATACTTCAAAGGTGATAGCATGGAAAGTCTGTCAAAGGCTACCTGCCACTGAATAGAAATAAGAGTGGGAGTGAGTGTCCATATTGGGTGACAGGTCTGTTTTCTGTTGCTACAAATTATTAGGTTGTAATCAACTTCTGTTCATTATATGAAATACAGATATCTATAGATATCCCTGTATGTCTATATATAGATACCTGTATCTCACTGTCTCATCAGTTAGTTGTTAAGTTACAGGGGCAAATAGTAGAGTCTTTTTCTCTCTTTTTGTAGTAATCTTTGTAGGATCATAGGGTAATTCCGTTCAGAAGGGACCTCATGAGGTCTCTAGTCCAATTTCTTCCTTAAAGCCACCTCTGCTGTGACACTGGGCTAGGTTGCCATCTGGTCTTGAAACCTGGCAAAGGTGGAGACTACAAAACTTCTCTGAGCAACCAGTTCCACTGATTGACTGTGCCCCATGGTAAAAGTGTCTCCTTAAGTTCAGTCAGAATTTCTGCTTTTGGAGTGTTGATGGACTAAATTGAATTAGTTATAGACTGATGCAAGTCTTTCCATGCCATTAACAAGTTCCTTTCTCTTCCTGGCTCTATGTCTTGAAGGCCTGGTTGCCTTTCATTTTGCTTATCTCCATGTAATTGACTTTTTTCCCCCCTATCATAAGGCTCTTTCAAATTTGTAATATGACTGCATTTTTTTCATTGCACTTTTGACTGTATTTGCATAAGACAAAATATTATCCTTTTGTGAATGAGCAATAACAAAGAAACATGAGCCAAGCCTTAGTTCTAGCAGTAGTCTGGAAGGAGGCAGAAAGTCTGTATTTTAATATAGCTGCTTTGGTATACAGATGCTTTTCAGGGTCCCTCTAGTGGTCAATATTGAACTGAATAAAAAGACACAATACTGGAATGAGCGATCCTCCCCTCAAGTATATCCTAACAGAAGAATATTCTGACAGCAGATTTTAGACATAGAGCTGCACATTAAAAGCAATACGTGATAGTTTTTCAGGAAAAAATACTGCATTTTAAGATAGAATAAACTTTAATTGAGCATCACTGGTAAAATACTTTAACTTAAATATGATTACTTCAGCACGACCAGAAACTCCACATCTTTGTCCTCCAATACTGTGGGGTTTTTTAATTCTGCAATCTTATTCCACCAAAGAATAAGTGTGCAGCATCTGGAAAGATACTTTTCTAACAGAAGCTTTTGAGCAGTTTTTTTTCTGTCAAAAAATTCAGAGCAATTCACAATGGCTATGTCTTGTAAGTGTCTCAGTAGAAGCATAGGATCAACAGACTGTTGTCATAATAGTTTTGGGATATAAAAAAAAGAAGCAGAATAATGGGAAAGGTGGTATCTGTAAGTACTCATTTCTTCAGCAATTGTAAGGAATTGTAATATATGTAGGAGAGAAAGCGTCCACACATACACTTCTGGGAACAGAAGACAAAAATGGGATAAAGGACAGAAATATTTTGATGTGCATTTAATTTTAGTACTTGAAAAGTTCAGATTTTCGGTGTGGTATTTGTGTGTAATTCTCTGAACACTCCTCTCAGGCATAGTCAGGGCAGGGGGCACAGGGACAGGTCCGAATGTTGAAAATATGTGTGCACCCTGTGCTATTGCACTGCGCCTGGGCACACCAGCAAGAATTCTGTGACCTGTGATTCTTTTGCTTACATTGTTTTTACCAGACAGGGTTTTGCAAAGTATGTACATACTTGTTCTTCTTAGTCTTTTTCCTCTTAAATACTCAGTTGTGATTTACAACTTGCCCTCCACAGAACTGCATATTTCTTTTCAGAACTTTGGATTTAAATTAAACTGTATGTAGAATTTGTTGCTTTAACTGTGTCTTTTAAAAATATTTTTTGAAGTAAAAAATTAAAGTCTGCCACTTTTTTTTTTTTTTAATTGAGGGGGAAGAAACGGTTGATTTTTTTTTTTATACTCTCTGCTTTTAGGAGTGAAACCTATAGTTATGCCCATTCCCTTCTCATGAAGCTGGTCCATGTGCTAAATGAGAGGCCTGCCACTGGATCTGTGGTAGCAGCAGGGGGGATGGTCTTTAAAAACTGGTTGTGTGTAATTCAAAGCCAAAACAGAGATGGTTTAGTCACCAAGCAGAAACACCAAGTGTTTCATAACTGGCATGTGTTAAGGTTATTTGTGTTTTAATGCACTGCTTGAGTTTGGAGGTGATAAAAGATTGATATATTTTTTTAACTTTTTCTCCCAGAAGTATTGTAAGTCTGTATTCTAAACTCCTGGAATAGACTTGTTTAGTTTCCTCTGAGTTTCCTTCTTGTGAAGGACAGCAATTGACTACTTGAATTCATTTAAATCAGGAAATAAATGCCAACTCTTAAAATATTTAAAAATTGCTAACTGGACATAAATGAGTTGCTGAACCTGTACGTTCTGTTAAGTTGACCCTTGTGCTGAAGCATGAATGTGCTATCTTGGGCTTTCATCCTCTGCTTAGTTCTTGTGTAGAACAAAGAATTGAGGTGTTCTACTTGATAATGCAGTTGGATTTTGATACCTTGAAATAATTTTTTTCACCCGTCCCCTTTCCATTCAGGAGACAAATGACTCCACTGATGTATGCAGCGAGAAAAGGCTATCCTCAGGTTGTTGCTCTACTTGTTGCTCATGGTTCACACATAAACGCCCAAGATGAAAATGGATATTCAGTAAGTGATTTACTTCTGTGCATTGTAATTAATGATAAAAATTTTAAAAAGCAAGAACCCACAAACTCGTTTCTAAGCACAGCTTCCTCAGAAATACTCATTGGCATATTCTTCTGCTTTACCACCACTTTGAGATTGTTTTGCATTACTTATCTTTGTCTCCAGATTCTGCCATGTAAGAACTTGTAAAGGTTACATTATTGATTGAGCCTCTGTTCTTTTTTGCTCCATATGTAAATTTGGTAAAACGAAGTTGTTCTTTGCAGGCATTAATATGGGCAGCACAGCACGGACATAAAAGTGTAATTTTTAAGTTGCTTGAGCTGGGAGCTGACAAAAATCTACAGACTAAGGATGAGAAAACAGCAGCAGAGCTAGCAAAAATCAATAAACATTCAGAGGTATTTAATTTCATTTCTCTTTGAAATGCAAATTCTGTTTTGCCTCAAAAATCTGTTCATTAATTGTATTTTCTGTAAAAGCATTACTTTATTAACTAAATTATAGCATCTAGTTGAGTACTTGTGCTATTATATCTATACAGACTATTTTCTGTTGTATCCTAACTTTTCACAGGGCTTTAAGTGCTATGTTTTGGGAATCTTGTGGGGGTTTTTTTCCAGAATCCTTGACTTCAGATATCAAATACAGAACAAGGGATTATTCATGTTAGTAATGTTGATACGAGAAGTAGAAAAATAATGTTTTGGTGTTTTCCTGTCTGCCAAAGTGTGTGAGAAATGCGGACATCAAACTAATTTGCAGTGTATGGTTTCTGATTGAATTTGGAAGTGAAAAGACTAAAGCTAAAAAGGGGGGGTGGTTGGTACTGGCCATCTTCAAAATCCATTCTTGGGAGGAAAGAAGGTGTGAAATTGTTTTAAAAAAATAAAAAAAAAGTAGAGAGATGCTGAAGTCAACATATATTCTCTTAAAATAAATCTTGTTTACTGCTGTTACCAAATGATGCACGGTGGATCAATTAGACCAGATTTCTGTGTATTTTGCTTTGAGTTGCTCATACCAATGGTGTGCCTTTTTGCAGTGGCTCTTCAAAAGTTTATATGAACTGCAATTCACCTAACTCCTTCGTTCCTCCTTCGTTCCTCCTTCGTTCCTCCTTCGTTCCTCCTTCGTTCCTCCTTCGTTCCTCCTTCGTTCCTCCTTCGTTCCTCCTTCGTTCCTCCTTCGTTCGCAGCAAAAATGATAACTATGCACAAAGCTGTCAGTGTAGGCTAGCAAGATCAGTGTCTGAGGCTCAGCGATCTGTTAGCTCAGGTTACTGAAAAGGGCTACAAATGCTTTCTGCCTTTGATAAATTACTTGTTCAGC